TCACCCAGAAACACAAGAAAGAGCCACCCCAAACTTTATTCCTTCAAACATTGCCTCTAATGATAGTAATAACAATAACAATAATAACAATATAAATAATAATAGTATCCAATCATTAGAGTCAGATCCATTAGTATTAGAGATTCTAAGAAGGGATAAAATTCAAACTGAAAGAGAAAAAGCAAATAAAGCTCTCAGAAAAGAGGTATTAGATTTTGAAAGAGAAATCAGAGAATCTGAACGTTCAGAAAGATTAATCAGAGAAAGACAAGAAAGAGAACGTTTAGAAGTTTTAGAAAGAGAAAGAATCTTTAGAGAGCATCAAGAATGGGAACGTACCCAATATTTATTAAGAATCGAAAACGAACGTCAAGAAAGGGTACGTCAACAACAAATAGAGAGAGAAAGAGTTGAAAGAGAGAGAATAGAAAGAGAAAGAATTGAAAGGGAAAGAGTTGCAAGAGAGCAACAAGAAAGGGAGCTTGCCCAAAATTTATATAGAGAAAGAGTTGCAAGAGAGCAACAAGAAAGGGAACGTGCCCAAAATTTATTAAGAGAAAGAGTTGCAAGAGAGCAACAAGAAAGGGTACCTATGGAAACATTAGAAAGAGAAAGACAACCACAAAGAGTTTCAAGAGAATGGGAAGATGCAGACAATTTATTTAGAGAAGTGGTTGAAAGTAGAAATGCCCGTCATTTATTTATGGAGAGATTTTCAAGAGAGCACGAAGAACGTAATCGTTACATAAGCTCAGTAAGAGAACGATTAGAAGAAATTCAACAACGTGCAAATAGAAGAATTTTAGAAAGAGAACGTACCCAAGCTCCATATACACAAGAAGAACATCAAAGGGTACGTGGAGAACAATTCGAAGCCTTAAGATTGCAACAAGAAAGATTACAACAAATAAGATTGCAACAAGAAGGACAACCACAACAAATGGAACAAGACGAAGAAGAAAACATCTGCACAGTTTGCTTTAGTCAGGTAGAGGCCATTAATAGTGCATCAATTGATTGTGTTCATAAATTTTGCTTTGAATGCATTACTAGATGGTATTCTCGTACTAGAACCTGTCCAACTTGCAGACAACCAATTTCAAGTATTAGAGTAAGTAATTCATACATTCATGTTTATACTTTATTAAAAAAACATATATATTAATTTAATTTATTATTTAATTGTAGAGAGATAATCAAAATGAGGGTTTAACAAATGATGCAATGAACATAGATTAAAAAAATTAATAACACTTTAAAAAGAATGAATGTCCAATAGCATTTCGATTACAATATTCCAATCCATAGGGAAAATATAGATTATTTGGTTAATCGTCATCAATTAGCTGGCCACCAATTAGATGATTATTTTAACCTCGATCAATAATACTCTATCTATATAGAATAATAACGAAATCAATCAAGATTATATCAGAAAACAACATTAAAGGACAAACATTACCATTCATTGCATTATCCTCAAATCTTCAAAAGGTTAAAGAAGTTCCAAAGGTTTCATATGCTAGTTCTCTTTTGGTAACTATTAAGTTTATATTTAAATTTGAATATAAAAAAACTAATATTTAGTTTTAATTCCTATATAGTTTAATAATAATGACTTCTCTTCATTTATAATCATGCTCTATACTAAATGTCTATATGTGTGCATTTTCATTCCCTAAGGTAACCATAATGTTAATATTTACATAACTATTTTTTGAATATAAAATTAACCAATATTTAATTCGTTTTTAGTTTAAATCTTTCTCATACACATCAAAAAGCTCGGTATTTAATTCTTTCTCATATCAAAACGTTTTTAGTTTGAATCTTTCTCTTTCATATCAAAAAGCTCAATATTTAATTCTTTCTCATATCAACACGTTGCCATGCTTGGGTATTTGATTAATCAAAGTAAATACAATGATTATATTAACATAATTATTAAAATATAAAAGAAACTAATATTTATTTCATATTTAGGTTAATTCTCTCTCTTTCTGTTTCATATATTATTAAATTATAATATTTCTCTCTCTTTCAGTCCCATAGTTCAATTATAATATTTTCTCCTTCAGTATAATCACGTTCTTTTTTTAATGCCAACATTGGGGTATTTGTATTTTTAAGGTAACTTTAATGTTATTATTAACATAATTATTCTTAATTTGAATATAAAAGAACTAATATTTAATTTTAATACTTATTTAGCTTAAATTTAATTCTTTCTTGTTCAGTTTCAACATATAATTTATTTCAAATCATTAATCATCATACATTGGGGCTATGTTTTATTATTTTCAATTGTGTTTTTTTTCAAATCATTCATGAAAAATTGGGGTTCTTTTTCAGTATTAACACATTTTAAAGTTACAATTCAAACATCGGGGGTTCTGTTTATTCTATGTAAATATTACTATTTTATTTTTATTTTTATTTTTAATTTGATTAATATTAATCATTAATAATCATCCTTTTAACTTTTATTTATTAATTAATCACATTTAATGTCATTTTTCAGTAGTATAACCCAATTTTAATCTACCCTTTACCACATTTTCTGTATAATATAATAATCAAAAATAATTATCATAATAATTAAAAAAAACCTAAAAGTAATCAGTAGCCAATAAAGCTCAAAAGTATGCTAAAAATAGAGGTCCATCATTGTTTGAGTTTGCCAATTTTCACTTAGCCAACAATAAACTATTGTTTCAGCCCTAAATCTCAAGTACATCATCTCATAGACTCCAATTGGCATTTCATAAATCATTATAGATGCATCAGTATTGGGTTCTTTAAATTTTACCACTTAAAGCAATTTTTGTTCTGGTATGGTTCCATTAAAAACTGAATATGAGATTTTTTTTTTACAACTCTAAATATTTTCAACATTTAAAAGGATTTTAGAAATCTATTGCAATTCAAAAATATAATTTGGTATATTTAAAAATTGAATCAAAATCAAGTAAAAAGGGTTGTACACGAGATGTAGTAGGTTAGGCCCAATAAATATATCATTTGGTAATATTGAAGGCATTCCACCAACTAAAGTATATGACTACTTTTTCAAATTCCATCAATCAAATAAACAAAAGCAAATCATTCAAGTTTAAAAACTTTATTATAGATAACTCTGTGAATCAGGAAGAACAGATATATTATCAGACTTAGAGTCATAAACAGTTTTTATACTTTATTATAAAAAAATTCTAAATTAAAACAGATAATACCTATGTTACAGAGTTACTTCTATATGTTCTGTAAATGAACATCAAAATAATAGATTCAAATTAAAAATTCAAAAAAAAAATAATAAAGATTAAAAAATTATAAATTAAAAATTAAATTTAATTTTTTTTTTTCCATAATTAACATTTAACAAAATTTATCTGTAAATTTATTGGGTGTCGTAAATAAAAAAATAAAATTATAAATATATAAATATATAAATATAAAAAATAAAATTAAAAATTTTTATTTAAAGATATTATTTGTAATGTTTATTATATGTTCATCAAATAACTTTGAATAAATAATAATATCATCTACATAGGCTTTTATATATTCTCTAAAGAATCGATTCTAAATATTTGATACTTTGGAATTTTCTGATCTTAAAAGTGTTTTTTAGTTGCACAAACATTCTTTTATCGGGTTTTAAAATCTTCAATACCAAAATATTTGATATCGTAATTGCATACTTTGCAATATTTATTCTTTCTTGAAGACTGTTCATAAATCAATTGGTTTGATGGTGTGTCTTTGCTAATGTTTGGGAATATATATGTACATTGAAAAGCTAAATATTTGACATTCTTTATCTTTTAAAACTGCCTCACTGTTGGTATGCTTTATTTAATAGTGATACGTCTATGTGTATTGATTTAGTGATTGTATTTTATTTTTAATAAGTGTAACATTAAAACAATTGTTTAGAAATAGTAGTTAGCTGTCTAATTATTTACCTTACCTGATGGGTCTTTGTATTTCGCTTAATATACATTAATGAAGGAAATTATATTATAATATATATATATATTGTTATTTTATTTTTATTTTTATTTAGTTTATAATAAAATAATGTTTATGGAGGTGCAGTATTATTTTTAGAAAATAAAAAAAATAAAAAAAAAAATAAAAAAATTAATTTTGAATGATATTTAAAATATCATTATTTTTTTAAATGCATCCACTTTTATAATAATAATAATTACTTTTAGAAAAGATTTCAAACAAGATGGAAAAAATTTACCATATGGTTTTTAAACAATAAAAAACAATAAAAATTTATTTTATTAAAAAATTTAAAATTATAAATCTTTATTTTGAAGATTTGAAAGGAAAATAAAAAAAATAATTTATATATATGTATATCTATATACAGTTTATAATTAATATGTGAGTATCTAACATTTTCTTTGCAAAGTTTAAAAGAGTAGACAAACAAAAATAATCATTTTTTCTTCAATAAATAAAAAAATAATACTAAATTATATCATGAAGAGCTATTTTTAATAAAAAGGAAAACGGTAAAAAATAAAATATTATTTATAAAAAAAAAAATTTATTATATTTATTATATTTTATTTGAAAATTTAATTATTAGGATATTGAAAATAGTAAAATCATTTGATGTTCCAATATATTTGCCTGGCCAGGGAAAATGTATTTCTTCCATCAAATAGATTGAACTATTATACCCTATTATTATTATTATTCTTTTTTTTTTTTTTTTTTTTTATATAATTATTAATTACTAAAAGTTCTTTTCTAAAGCTTTAAGGTTGATGATGCTGCTGCTGATGAATGCCGATGATGATGATGAGGACCAAGATTAATGCTGATGATGATGATAATGCTGAGGACCAAGATGAATGATGATGATGATGAGGACCAATATGAATGCTGATGATGATAATGCTTAGGACCAAGACGAATGCCGGTGAGGATGCTCATGATGATGAGGACCAAGATGAATGCTGATGATGATTATGGTGATGATGGTGAGGACCAAGATGAATGATGATGCTGATGATGCTGAGGACCAAGATGAATACTAATGAGGATGATAACGCTGAGGACCAAGATGAATGCCGGTGAGGATGCTCATGATGCTGAGGACCAAGATGAATGCCGGTGAGGATGTAGGTGAGGATGCTCATGATGATAATGATGAGGACCAAGATGAATGCTGAAAATGAATGCTGCTGATGATGATAATGCTGAGGACCAAAACGAATGAATGCTGAGGAATAAAAAAAATAAAAAAATTAGTATTTATTTTTATCACATATTATATATATATAATTACCTGTTTGTTTGTTCGCTTGGCTATTATAAAAAATAAAATAAATGTATATTGATAAAACGAAAATAAAAATGAAAAAAAAAAAAAAATTTTCCCCCACACACCACAAAAAAAAAAAAAAAAAAATTTAATTTAAAAAAAATGAAATTTACCACACCCCAAATTTTTACAAAGGAATAAGAAATTGCGAACATCATTATTAAAAATTAAAATAATAATAATTTTTAACTAATATTGCCACTATAGATTTTTCGGATAAAATTTTTTTTTGAAAACCGATGCAGTTCGGAGCTTTAGTTTAAAAACAGAGATAATAATATTATTTTTATAGTTTGACGAAGATTAGGAATCTGAAACTTGGGAGATGGTGAAAATAGTTTATAATGGCCATGAAAACAACAGCGAGCTAAATAATGATGGTCCTGAAAAATGTGAGGCATTTTATTAATTATATGATAATAAGTTGGTGATGTTTGGTTGTTACTGTTAGTGCTTGGTGAAGACTGCCTTTGATTTAGCACTATATTGATTTTTAACTATTAATTATTATAAAATGTTAATTCGATATTTAAATATGTATAGTTGTAAGACCCCCCAACGGATTGACCTATTGTATTCAATGATGTTAATCCAATTGAAGTTGTTACACCTGCTACTGATTGACTGTATTTGCTGTGGTTAATTCTGATACAGAGTTTGCACCCAAAATGAAACTACTCGATGCACTGGTTGTAGTTAATTCACCTACACTTTGGCTAGTTACAATTGTATTTGAAGTTGTTGATCCTGTAATTGATTAATCAGATGCAATGGAACTAGCAGTTAATCCTGTTGTTTTAATTGTTGCTATATCAGCTATTGAGTTTGTAGTTGTTAATCTACCAACTAAATGACCTTATGATATCAACCCAATTGAAGTTATTACACCTGCTACTGATTGACTACCACTGATTGACTACCACCGATTGTATTTGCAGTTGTTAAACCTGCTACAGAGTTCACACCCGAAATTAAACCAAATGTATTTGAAGTTGTAATCTATCACTGTTGCTTGGGCCAAGTCAAATATTGAACTTTGAATTTTTAAACAAACTTGCAATTGATTTGAATTTTGCAGATTTCCCCGAGATTGAAAGAATTTGAGTTTCTGCAACTTTGTGACTTTTTATAGTTATTGCTATTAATTTTGAGATTATTATTGAGCAATAGTTCGTGGTTGGATTGGTAATTATTATTACTTGTGAATAGTATAAAATCTCTTTTAATAGGTTCGCTGTGAATTTGATAATCATTGGCTAAATCCTTATATAGTTGATTAAAATCATTCATTCATGATATCGACAACAGCAGATCCTGTAAGGGTATTGAATGGTTTTAATTGGTAAATATGTCTTTTGAAAATTAATAAAAGTAAATTTAATTAATATAAGAAATTCTGTTTCTATTTTCTATATTTGTTCAACAATGCCAATTTCTATATGTGTGTGGGTTTGTTGTTATTGTTGCTGTTGTTTTAAAATAATATATTAATTTACTTACTTGCTCTCGAAAGGTTTAAACATATTTCAGTACTGTTAAAATTATTATTATTGAACCTTTACATTATTAAAATTATTTATGTGTTTGCTTGTTGTGTTTTAAAAATAATAAAATAAAAAATTAAAAAAAAATTAAAATATTTTTAAAATTTTAAAAAAAAAAATAAAATTTTGATTTTTAAATATTATTTTAAAATTTAGATATCAACACGTTACGTTATATTTACTAAAATTGGTAACTATTGAATAATCATAAAAATATAATATAATACTATACCCTAATTGCACTATTTAATAATAGGAATGTTCTGTAATAATAGAAATCAACTGTTGAACACCAATGACAGCAACAAAAAAGATAGCATCAGACAACACCAAAGACAGCATATAATGTAAATGGTATAAATATAATAAAGCATTAAATCAGGTAATATTCCCCTATTGTGATATTTTTAAAATTTAATTTCAATAGATTTTAATTTCTATACCATTCAATATAATAATAAACACAAAGTAATAGTTATAGGTCACTCATTTATAGAAAATATATTAAGTAATTATATCAAAATAAAGTTTTAATAAAACAACAGAATAATACGATAAAAAAATTAAATAAATTAATTAGTTATATGTTATAATTATAACTCTATAACATTAAAAATATACAAATAAATAAAAATAAAAAAAAATTTATTTAAGAAATATTTTATTTTTCTTTATTATAATCAAATAAAATATTTTTTATTTATATTTATTTTTAAAACTTTAAATTATTATTTATATTGATCTAATAAATGGCCATTTTATTAAATTCATAAATAATTAATTTAGTTATTATTGGTTTAACTTTTATTGAATCTTCTTTAAAAGCTAATATAAGTGGTGGTTTTTTACTTGAATCGTACTTTAATTGTTTTGAATTATATTAATTGTATCTGGTGGTGAAGGTGATGTTTTGATATCTATTTGGTCTAAAACTAATCTATTTATCTCTATTATTTATTACATATTTTATTTTATTTAATTTCTTTTTTTTATTTTTTTTTATTTGATGATTAAATATTATCTATATATTTTCTATTGAATGAAATATTCTTGAGGAATTTGATAATTGTCCTAATAGATTAAAAAAAAATTAGTTATTATATTTAAATATATTTTAATTATTTTAAATACTTACCCTAAGATTACTAAATGAAAAAAATGCCATCATTTGATCCCAACCGGCCATAAGTAGGCATTCATATGCAAACTCTGGCTTTAATTTGGTATATGCTGAAAATTCATTTGTAATTTCTTCTTTCTCAGCATCTGAGGGTTCGGATTCTACAATGTGGACTTTTGGAAGCAATTTGTAAGGTCTAACATTAAGATTATCATTTAAAATAATTGCTTCCCAACCATTACCAGCTGCATCAGAACCTGGTGGAGCTTGTGCCAATATAAAGGTTCTATCAAAAGATCTCATTAAATTATATTTTGGTTCGAGGAAGTGACCATGTACAATTACAGATAATAACTAAATTGAAAAAAAAAATTAATATATTTTTTTATATGGCAATATTTTTTTTTATAATACATACTTTTGTACCTGGAACCAAAAATGTATCAATAATAAATGAAGACAATGTATGTTGTGTTTTTGGACATAATTTGAAAAATTTATATATTTTATCATTTCCTGAATATAATATTTTTGTTTTTTTATCTAAATAAAAAATAGAATTAGTATTGATATTAAACATAGTTTTTTTTTGGTTTTATATTAAACTTACTGTTACCCATTTGCTTCATTAGGTTTCTATTTGATTTTTGGTAGACTCTTTCTGAACCTTTAATTGGGAGAGATTCACTATCAGCCAAATATGTCATAGAGAATTTGGACTCGTTTGTATAGACTTTAATGATATTTTCTCTATTGGCATCATATACATTGAAAAATCTCTCTAAAAATCTATAAGCGAATTGTTGTCTATCTAGACTATCGCAATAGTTTGGTCTTAATGGAGGAATTGGACGTAGAAGTAAACTCTTTGAAACAATTTCCTTACCATCCAAACATTTTGAATCTGGAGATTTTCTTGCTCCTTCTCTATAAAATTATATTAATATAAGGGTTATTAAATACTTTAATTTGAATTGATTATTTTTTTTTATTTTATTTTTATTTTATTTATTTTATTTTAATTTATTTAATTATATTATATTATATTAAATTAATTTTTTATTTTTATTTTTAGTTTACTTACAAGGTAGTGGTAGTGGTGTTGGTGGCTTGTTGAGTATCTGATGAGGTATTATTAGTACCTTCAGATGATAATGATGATGATGATGATGATGATTTTGAAGTTTCTAATGATGAAGTTCCTAATGATCCTTCATTATTATTATTTTGTTGCTCTAATTTTTTTACTAAATTACATTCTATTAATAAAACTATGGAATATATGAGGATTAATATTTCCAAAGAAAAAATAAAAAGATTAAATAAAAATTCCATTTTTATATAATAATTATGATTGAATAAATAATTTTATTTTTTTATAATATATAACTATTATTATTATAGAGAAAAAAAATTATTGTTATATTAAATAAAGTATTAAATAAATATATTATTTGTATGTGAAAAAAAAAATTGTTGAATAATGTATATATATAAAGCTATTATACAATAAAAAAAGAAATTAAAAAATAAAATTAAAAAAAAAAAATAAATACAAAAAAAAAATTTATAAACTAAAAGAACTGTTTTGAAAATTCTAATTTTTTTATAATATAAAGAAAAAAATAAAAAAAATAATTATAAAGTAAAAATTTAGTTTATATCTTTTTTTTATACTGATTATTGATCATTTTTTTTATTTGATTTCGATTTTTTATAAAATTTTCTTTAAAATGATATACAAAACATTATACAAACTTTTTCATTTTAAAAATGATTTTTAAAAAAAAAAAAAAAAAAATTTATTTATTGATTTTTTAAATGATGTATACAACTGAATTTAAATTAATAATTATTTGTTTTACATAAGAATAAATATTCCATTTATTTAATTATTATATAGGGTTAATTTTTATTTTGAAAAAAATATTATATAAAAATAAATTATTTTTAGTGTACAACAAATAAAATAACAAAACAAATTAAATTAAAAAATTGATTTAATAATAAAATAAATTTAATTTATTTTTTAAGAAAAAAGGTAAAGAGTAAAAATAGAAAATAAAAAAATTACCTTTGGGGAGTTTTTAAATTATTCACATAGACCTGTAATTCTCGAATGGTGTGTTTAAACAAGTATTGGATTATTTTTGTTTATATTATAAATTAATTAACTGTGAATCCATGTTTTAATTATTATTTGAACGAGAAGGTGTTTTTTTCATCTATAAAAAGTGAGGGGTGGTAAAAAAAATTAATATTATATATAAGTTATTTATGAATTAAAAAAAAATAATAAAAAAAAAAAAAAGATTAAAAAAGATATTTTAAAACCTAGTGGTTGATTCAATCTAGTTTTTTTTTGTCCGTTTGTTTAGAATAAAATGTTTTAAAAACAATTCTACCTTTTCTTTTTATGTTTTCTTTTGATTTTAGTTTTGTTGAAGTTTAGTTTTTAAAAATGAATACCTATATTATTATTTAATATATTGATTAATTTTTTTTTTTATTGTCATTTTATTATTGAGGAGGTGTGAATATAAACACTGGTATAAATAAAGCACATTATAATAAATTAATTTAAAAAATAAAAAAAGCGCCTATTATAAAAAAAAAAAAAAGAAAAAAATTGTTAAAAAAGGGGGTGTATAAAAAAAATATAAAAAAAAAAATCCACATTATATAACATACCAAGTCAAAGGGGGTGTATTATCAGAATCCCTCACTATAAAAACTTGATGGGAGTCCTCATCGGGTATTTGAATTCGTGACTATATCCACAAGTTTGCCTAATATTGGGTTTATTTTAGAAACATTGTTTGAGAATTCATACTCTTTCCAGAGGAAATATATAAATGAATGACATTATAATATATAATGTTATTTTATTTTTTATAATAAAATAATGTTTGTGGTGGTTCAAAATTATTTTTAGAAAAAAAAAAAATTAAAAATAAAAAAAATTAAAAATAAAAAAAATTTTAAAAATTTGGATAATTAAAAAATAGTGCTATAATATAAATAACAACACTTTAACAATAATAACAACATACAATAATAGTAATAATAGGAATTATAAATTATTTTTTTTCAAAATATTTATTAAACAAAAAACAAAGGAAAATAATTACACTTGTGAAATTAAATCATTCGGCACTGTGTATGTTATATTATATATAAATACAAATCTATAAAGTGATTCGATTCGAGTATTAATTTAATTTTTAAATATTAGCTGTAAAACAGGTTTAAAGAATATAATATTCTATCATAATGATTTAAGTAAAATGTTTATTACACACTAGAATTATCCAATGCTAAAGAAATTAAAGCAACATTAATATATTATGATTATAGAGCGAATGAAAAGAAGGAAACCGTTAATTCAACATACAATGCAACTTCAAAACAGTTTGAGTTTAAATTTATTGCTCCAAAGTACATTAAAACTGGTAATGCTAGTAATACAATTTCATTAGATTCTTTAGGAAGTAATAGTTACCATTAGTTTCAGATTTAAAGATATTAAAATCACTAAATGAATATAAAATATTGCATGCTATAGCTCAAATGTTTTTAAACAATGATATTTTTTTGTTCGTGGTACAATTGGTATTGCTGAAAGAAACATAACAATAAATCCGTCAGTTATTAATATTATGAATTTAATAATCAAAAAAAAAAATTCAAATATTAAATAATGCAGACAGTTACGAATCTTTATTTAAACCCACTTATATTATTGTAAAATGTACCAACGGTGATGCAAATTTAAAAGATAAAATAAAGAATGGTAAATATTTAGCTTTTCAATGTGCATATATTCCCAAACATTACCAAAGACACACCATCAAACCGATTGATTTATGAACAGTCTTCAAGAAAGAATAAAGATTATAAAGCATGCAATTACGATTTCAAAGATTTTTAATTATTCCTCAATGTTTGAAGGTCTTAGCGCCCTACCCTTCTCATGTAAATCATCATATAGAAAGTATTCAATCAACTGGAATAGATTAATTTTTCAACAATCTCCAAAGTAGCTCCTTGAGAACATAACAATCAGTTTTGCTTTTATGTATCAAACATCACAGTTCTCAAGCATGAATTGTTAATGACTAGGCTGGGAAGACTCTTTTTTGTTAATGTATGGCATCAAACTCTGCAACAATCGATAAAAATTTCGAAACAATACCCTTTTATAAATCATCTCAAAACCTTAGATACTAGTAATACTCAGCAACAGCTATTGCATAGTTCAGAAGAGAGAAATCAAAATATTATTATTATGATAGAATTTTCAATTTCGTATTCACTTTATTTAAATATTCTTTATATATTCGGAAGATATTGGGAAGTTTTTAGGTTTAAGAAGGAATCTTTAGGTTTTTTAGCTGCTTTAAACATGTCTTTTAAATTATATCTCGATTTTTTGGATCAATTGTTAGATGGTATATTTAAATCCAAATATTAGTAGATATTCATGGAAAAAGGGATTTATTTCAGTTATTAAAGATTATAAAGTTACAAATGTTAAAATTCAAATAATATTATCAAATACATTAGTTATTGGTTCATTTTCAGCCGCTTCAAATGCTTCTGGTATTTTAGAAGATACAATTGCAGCTACCGAATTACTCAAACAATATAATGCTCTTATTTCCTGGGACTATGCATGTGCTGCATCATATATGTAAACCAATAGAAATGCAACACAGTCAATATTGCAGATCAAGATAATGATCAATTAAAATTTTAGGTGGCGAGGATAAAGATGAAACACAAAGTAAATACAAAGATTACCAATTATTATTTTTTTAATAAGATACAAACCAGATCCAATATTTTTATTACACCATAATTTTATATCATCTCTATTGAATGATTTATTTGGTACCTAAACTAGAGCAAGCTGTGTATGTGAAGGCCCCTATTTAGAAGTATGTTAATCTAAAAAAGATAACAAAGAATTACTAGAATCAATATAACCATCTAAACTGTACTTTTTTCAAATTCAAAATTAATGCCCAATTATAAAACTTAAAATAAATATACAAAAAATAAATATATAAATAAATAAATAAATAGACTTATAGTTTAAAAGACAAATATATGTATTTCTATACAAAAAGTATTTGATAATTAATTAAATGTTGTTTTTTAATAAATG